TCGGCGAAGTCCTTTTCCGTGTGCAGGCATCGGACAGAGGTTAGGTACTAGGTGTAAAGATATGTTTTCAGTCAATTAAAATGCAGCAATTTAACCAAATGTTTTCGGTTTTATATTCGCCTTCAAAAACTGATTGAATTCATCGCTGTTAACGGTCCAACAGACACTCGTCTTCTAGGACGAATTATTGCAAGGGAAAAGGGACCCGCTACCCAGCATATTCAATGATAATGAATAACGGAGCAGCCTTCGGGAAGTGTAGACCTGCGAAGCAAGAAGGCGGCAGGATTTCAGACGCTGTGCTGCTGCAACTTGGACAGGCGCTGCGACAGAGTCCAACACGTGGCCATGATTATGCGATTTCGTTAGCCGCTAATGATTACTGCGAAGGTCGTGTCCAGGCCTTGGCGAAGGAGCTTAATGGGAAAAGTTAACTCATCTATCTAGAAGGAAACGACAGCCAAGCAGCTCATTCCGGACGACACGGGTTCCAACTATGGAAGCACTAATACAGTGCCCGCAGTTTTCGTCCGAGATAAGCTCGCTATAGAAAAAATGTTTCAGAATCTAGGAGCCGGGTGCCGACAGATGCAGAAATGTCAAAGGCAAGGTTATTCGACATAATTTTGTCATCAGTCTGAGAGATCCGGCTAGAAAGGTTGTCACAGAGGGCTGGACCTACATTTACTTTTGTTGTGAGCGAAAGCGTTACATTTGTTACCTTTGTAATTTCCATGGGAACGTTAAGAAAACATGCTGTCGAGAAGACCTGTGATGTGAAGGAGTATGAGCCTGCTTCGGGCTTCATGTTCAATCGTTGCGTCCCAATGACGAGAACATAAATCAACTCAAATGTTTCGTACCTTGAAACAGCTGGGGAAATTGAAGCACATCTGATACGAGTAACTAGAGCAAAACATTTGGAACTCTGAATTAATTATCAACTCTTCTAGTGAAACTTGATTTTCTCTTATTTAGATCGACCCAAAAGTTTGGCCCCCACATTGTTAAGTAGCGTGCGCGACAAAAACAATTAATTCAAGAATGGGCTTTGACCAGTTCACTTCCACCGTAAGTCACCTGTGCTGACAGTCCTACCAAATGAACAAGCTGGGCTTTTATAGGTATGAAAATTGAGGGTGCGGAATTTTACGGTATATTATAAAAATGAAAAGTAGCAGCATCTAGCAATTTGTGAATTCAATGAATTATAAGACTTACACGTTCCAAAGTCTCGCTCAAACTAGGAAGGGGAAGACTAGGCAGACTGCCTTGATAGCTATAAAGACGGGGTTTCCTGCCCTGAAGAAGCTTTAAGGAATACTGAAACACAATGGAAGGTAAAAATGAAGATGCTAAATTATTGGTTGCGATATGGGTAAGAAAATATAAGAGAAAAGCAACTCTGAATTATATTTAAAGTAATGCTATAACTTACAGCCCAAATTTTTACGCTGGCGTCGATATTTTTTGGCATTTTGTAGATCCATCCGGTACGACTAAGCAACACTCTTAATAGTAGTTTATTTACGCTCGATACGAGCGACCAGAGGAGAAAAGCGAAGATCAAACACGCGAATATGTGATATGACAGCGTCAATCCGCAGCGCCTGATAAAGTCAAAATAAGTAAAAGTAAACGCTTAGTCTCATTGATATGAAAAGATGTTATAGTTTATAGGGTATGAAAGAATAAAAAGGGAAAACTAAAGTTCAACTTACGTTTTTAGGAAGTTTTCAATAAGGGATACAGGATATCTGCTAGCGTGGACATCGAAGTAAGAGGCAATGAATACCGCAACGGAAAATATAAACCAGCTTGTCACGTGGAATGGGTAGAACTTGCTGTAAAAAGAGTTCTGCAGAAGTATAGAAATGTCAAATTTGTGGTACTAATTACCTCGAGGCGTGAAGCAGAATGTTTCCATGATTGAATCGTAGACTTTGTCAGTGCCCGAAGAACTTCCGTATTATAGTTATATGTGAGGCCTTCCGATGTGACTGAATGGGGAAGTCAATAGAAGACGGTAAGATCAAAATTAAGTAGCCATTCGTGCACATACAAATATTCTATGATCAACTCTCACATATGGGATAAAAACCATAATCAGGAATAAAAGTAAGTCATTTCCCCTGCCAGCACATGGCTCCGGATTCTGTGGGGCCGGAAACGGAGCAATCTAGATCTAAGGGCCTTTATGGACGAACTAAATTTACTGCACAAATTTCTCGAAATAAATTTTTTGTCGATAAAGTATCAATAACCATTATTACGCGTTTTGTTCTTTGATAATTTAATCAAATCGGGGATAAAAATGAGAAAACAAGGGCGCACTCTGCAAAAAATATTTTCCGGAGGCGAGGCAATCCGGGTTGAAATCCCCGTCCTCTGGGCCCGTCCAATTCAGTGCCACGTGAACGGGGCCAGAGGACGGAGATTTTAACTCGGATTTTCCCGCCTCCGGAAAATATTTTTTTGCAGAGTGCGCCCTTGTTTTCTCATTTTTATCCCCGATGTGATTAAATTATCAAAAAACAGAACGTAAAATAATGGGCATTGATACTTTTTCGACAATATAAATAAATATCGAAAAATGTATACAGTACATTTAATTCGATCATAAAGATTCTTGGCCCCGGGTTGCCCAGTGTCCAGTTCCGCCGAATCCGCGGCCATGTGATGGCATGGGATGAACATCATAATCAAGGGGAAAGTACGAACGTTCCTGATAAAAACGATTGGATGTCATGTGAAATGATATAACAGACCTCCATAGTTTAATTTCTGTTTTACGCGGGCAACTAAAAGTGATCCAGAGTAAAAATATGGGACTGTATTTTAGATCGGTTTTAATTTAATTGGATGACATGGAATTAAAGGTTAACTTTTTATAAGAACCACTTATATGCTCCCATCGTTTCTTTACAGATACACGCGTTTTAGAAGTGTCGAGCTCGAATTGTTATTAGGGTACATGGAAAACCCCGAATCGCGAAATTGTCATATGAATGAATGGATAAAAATACGGCTGTATGAAAAATTTATATAAATTCTTAAACGTCTTCACATAGTTAATTACCAGAGAATGAAAAAGCTACAGCCGAATGCGCTTCTGCCATGACGGACTATTAACCCTATCGAAGACGAAACGCCCGCTGTAAGCCCAGCCTATGGTCAAACGATGACCTACAAGGTCGAAATTAGTTTTCGATGTAAAAAAACAAATGCCACGTCAAGGTTATGACGGTGGAGTGCAGTTCAAATTATTATGGAAATGGGCAAGACCGTTTGAGTATGCTATTTGCAAAAACACTTAGTTTGATTCACGGTAAAACCTTGTAGGATGCAAGAGTTCAAATGGGACAGTAAAATATGACAGTTTTGGCGAGTGTCCCGAAGGTTTAAGTTAAATCCATCATGCCTGCGGCTGATTTTGGGAAATAGATCTATCAGGGCTTCATTTAAAGCTTTTCAGTGATGGTTACATCACAACATCTGCGGGAAGAGCATTCCATGGCCCGACAACTCTGACTGAGAAGGAGAAATTACGCATCTCCTGCCTAGCCTGCTGAACGCGTAGTTCGGATGGGGGACCTGGAAGAGTGGTCCTGATAGCGAATTCTGAAAAGACCCCAAAAGCCAAGACACAATCGAATCCATCAGGATGTGGAATGCCTGTAGCATATCCCCGTGAATTAGTCTATCTCTGAAAAGGAACGGATAAAGATTTTTAGGTTGATTTTATATGCCAATGTGCTTTGACTCTTAACCATTATGGTGGCCGTTCTTTGAACGCTTTCGATACTTTTGGGACCATTTGTTCCAAGTGTCTGCAGGTTTATATAAAATGCTTCTCGTGAATCTCCACGTTTTACAAGGCTACACCATTATTAGAGTATCTTCTGCTGTCGGTGTATCTGGCTAGGTTGCCAATGCAAATTGCTGTAAATATGTCGATTTTGAACCACAGAAGCTCAGACTATTTTCAGACCGCCCAACGTTGCAATTCGACATATCAAAGACTAAAGGCAGATTGAGCGACACGAAGCTACTTTTGCTATCCAAGCCCATTTTCACTCATGCAAAAGTTGCTTTTGCCTCTAACTTCTGGATGATTCTCGGGATAGAATTGCAAGTTAACCAATGGGGTTTCGACGACATGTAGTTCACTGCAACCCTAAAAGACACTAAAGTCATACGCCTCACACACGTCCCGCCACTCCTGGAAATGATTTCCTTATTTTCGACTGCCATTTCATGAATAAGCCTAACGTACTATGTTGGAGACTCAGAACGACAGGCTAACAGTAAAGCCGTATATTATATATATACGGAAGACAACCAAATGAGTCATAAACTTCTCTCAACTGTCCCATGGAAACGAATCTAAGACAAGGAGGTAGGGAAAAACACACCAACAGCACTATATAATAAAAAATTTCAATCGATCCCTTAGCGTTTTTAAATGAAAATATGGCCGCAAGTATTGTGGCCGGCGCCCAACATAGCTCTGTCCGGCTTCCTTGTTCAAGCTCAACTAGCTCAAGGTCATCCACTGTCTTAGTCAGAGCCTTCAGACGCGCTCATCTGCGTACCCTTGAGTGACTTCCACTAGGACACGCACAATTGCGTCCAGGTAGTCTCCGCGTTGAATACACCCCTTTCGTCCACTCTTGGCCGACGCAGTCTACGCCACTAGAGAGGACACCTTCGGGTTATGCCATATGCACCAATTGGAGGACACTTGAGCCTGCTCTGAAATCCTACTTGAGCAACAGCCACCGTTGTCTCATTCTCTC